AGACAGTCTTCCCAACAAGAACAACCGCATCAGTCATGTCAGCTAATGTATACACATCAGTCTGGTGACAAATGATGGCAAATTGTCCTATTTTGTTTGTTGTGGATGGCTTGATTAGTCTTAAGTGCTTGTTTAACCTCAAGATGGAAATATTTAATTACTGTAAAAGATTACAAAACAAAGACAGACAGAGCTGCTTAGGCCCTAATGAGGTCAATGACAGTTCATTTGGTCGCAAATTATGTTTTAAGGTCCTAATCTCTGCCAGGAATCTGTGATAGGAGACATTACCTTTGCTGCTACAGACCCAGTCTGCTGCCAGCGATTATGAGATGATGTGAGAGGGGAGGTCAGCACATTACAAATTTAATTTTAAAAGCGGCAACAAAAATGACCAGAAGCTAATTCTCCCTCAACAGATGGGGGAGGTTTGATTACAGAAACGTCTATTTATTTTTAGGATCTCTTTAGCTTTGGGAGCTGCTGGTGTTTATGAGAAGTAAACAAGATTTTACCAGCACCACAAAAACCAATCTGTCATACAGCAGTATAAAAATGAATGAGACTCACAATAATATGTTGAATATCTCTAATGTAGGAATTATCTAAGAAATAATTTAGCTTGAGCTTATTACCCCTGCCAAGGAGGTTATGTTTTAGCACCTGTTCGTTTATTTGTGGGTTTGTTTGTTTGTGTGTAAACAAGTATACGCGAAAACTTTACGAGACACATTATTGATTTTTAAATTTTAGGAGAATGTCGGGCCCTGGTGGAGGTATGAGCTCTTCTCAGTGCCATCCCTGTTGCATGTTTTGATTGGTATGGATGAGGATGCTGTACTGCATGTGTTCAATTCACACATTTCAAAAATAACCATTAGCAGCCAACAGATATTGGATATCAATATCAAACTGTCACCTCATTTGCAGAGACAGACAAGTCCCTGGTGAAAAGTCAGATCGGTCACACTCATTTCATGGTTCATTAATTCAGTTATGCAGCAACTATGTGTTGATGCATAATGTCTCTATGTAAGTATGAACTTTTCTCATGGTGACGATGACAATACATTTTACAGCTACATTAACCCTCCAACTCTGATTTAAGAATAAAGCCTCATCTGTGGGCCAGAATCCGAGAGCAGCCGTTTTTTCCCCACAACAGATCCGAGAGCTTACCTCTGTAAGAGGCCTTTGAACGAGGACAAATAAAACCTCTGACCTTGTAGGATCGGTGTTCTGTTCAATAGCAAGCAAAGGGGCTCTTTAGCCTAGCTAGTGTCTGTGTCACTGAGGAAATGTCAATAGCCCAGATCAGGTTAAGGACAGAAGAAAAAATAAAGAAATTGGGGAATAAAGGAGTGATAATGAAAAGATAAAAGGAGAAGCAAAAGAGCCAAAGATGCACACACTGCCTCAGAGTGTGCCACATCCCTCCTATTAGTTAATGTGTCACTCTAATGCCAAGTAGGGAGTGACACAGGTTAGTGCCCCCGCCACACACACACACCGCCTGAACCAATACTGGCAATGACCAACAAAGCTGCGCAGAGACAACAGGAGGAAGAGAGGAGAGGAAAAGGTGGAGGGGAGGACAGGAACCCATCTGATAAATCACTGATAGGATAAGAGCAAAGAGCAATAATGGAGGAACTCACCGCTCAGAGCGAATCATAGAAAAGGGCTATTATTAAAGAGACAGAGATGAGAACAGATATAGTCAATTGGCGAGATAAAGTGAAATAAAAACACAACTGATAAACCATCAGGAAAAAAAATGAGGAGATATGAAAGAGAGACGACCTGTTACATGTGAAGCGTTCATAACGCCTGTATAAATAAGTAACTGCCACAAAGCGATAACCAATCACGTCTGATTGATAACAGTCCTTGTGGGTGTGTGAAATCTGTAATAACCTCATCAGTATGTTTCCCCCTCAGGTTTCAGAGCTCAAGACGGCTGACAAAAGCATCATCTGCCGCCATCTGTCACTAAATCACATCTGGGCCGACTGGGAGTGATGGGACGAGGTGAGGTGAGGGAGGGGAGGGGAGGGGAGAGGTTGTAAGCCTGTTTTAGTTATTGAGACTGGCAGTTTCAGGCAGCAGGCTAATGAGCTATTGGGAGAACAGAGTCATAGGCAGGTGTTGAGCTCATAAAGTGGGTTTATGTGCATATGGGCGATGCTTGAGCAGAACCTGCACCCTCGCACAAATATGAGAAAAACTCAATTTCCTGCCAAAACGACACATGAGCACATGGGTGAGTAAACCTGCAGTGTGACTCTACAAAAAATGAAAAGACACAGTGGCAGTGAAACCTGCAAGAGCTCAGTTCTCTTCATTTTTGCTGCACCCATGTTTAGTTTGTACATATAAAAATGCAGGTTTACGTAATATCTAATTTGACCTGCCATCATATACAATAAATATGAAAAGTCTGACCCCAAACATTAACAAAAACTTGGGATTTGTGCAGTGGGATTTATACATCATGTCCTGCCTGCTGCATGCTCTGCCCAGGTACCGCCTCTTATCTCAGATTGTCCTGATGTTGAGAACGTGTCTGACCCTACTGCTGCTGCTGCATTATCCAAATGTGAACGGCAAACTCTTAAGAAAGTCCAGACCCAATTGTCTGAACATTTCTCAAGTTCATGTCTAAAATGGCTTAAGTGAACTCTCCTATTATGTTTCCAGCTCTTCGCTGATTTGCAACCCAAACAGCCCCAATCAACATTGAGCTGGGAGACATAGAATACATCCGGCAGGGATAGCTTCACTTTGAAATTAGACATATAGTCTTCAAGACAAAGTCCATCAGTCTGTTTATTTCCATTCAGTAATGTACTGCAGGTGGTGGCAAGAGAGAGAGAGCTCGTCTGTTTCCACTGCCACATCCTCTGGTGCCTCCCGAGGGATGTCAACATATTCCTCAGGCTGAGACTAACATAGGGCCGTATGAATGCAGAGTGAGCCACCGGGCACTCACCTGCACATTCTCCTTATCTCTGCATCTTGGCACTGCTTTTTAGTTGAACCACTAACAACGGACCACTCCGTATCGGAGACATTACCAAGAGCTGTTTCCCTGGCAACATACCCAACTCCCCACCACGAGACACCTCCTGGAGGGGGACAAATCTCATATGTTCTCAAAACTAAGAAAACTATAAGATAATGAAGCACCAACTCAGCGACTGCAGGACCGGTTTCCTGCCAAAAAAATGTATTCAAAATGTAGTAATTTAATGACGATATTTCCATAACAGCTGTCAGCTTTTCTCTCTTAAAAATCAGAATGGAAAGAACAATAGCAGCCCAGCGAGGGAATGTGGAAACAGTGAGATGTTGGTTCATACTATCAGCTGAAGTGTTCAAGATGACGTCTCAGTACCCGTTTTCAGACATGAACTTTGGAAAATGTCTCTAAAATTGGGTCTGGTCATATTATTTAGAAATATTGTAAGATTTGTACCATTGGTCAGACATAGCAAAGATGGTTAAAGATTCCCTTTACAGTTGATTAAGGTATTTGAAAGATGAATCAGTATTAAAAATAATAATTACTTGCAGCCCTAGTCCAGAGCTGTTACACAATCAAACGTGCATCCTACACTGTCTTGTTCAGAACCACTGAAAAATCTCCATGAGCCGTATTAACTTGAGACTGTGAAGGGAAACAACATTAATCCAGTGCTGATGAGAAATCACACGTCTGTGACTCGCAATTTATTTCAATTTTATTTAGTCCTGATTGTCTGAAAATGGTTCAGCTCCACGCCACTCCAGCTGCGTTTTCTCAGACGGGAAAGATATGATCAAGAATCTGTCTGCTCTGACCGCTCGGGCTGAATATTGGTTTGACTGTTTCTCACTGAAGCTGATGAGGAAGATTTAGGCTATTTCTCTGTAGCATGGCAGCCTGGAGACACGCCTCTCCTCCTGAACACACACACACACACACACACACAC